TATTTGACCCCACTAATAGCCGCTTGGGCGGGGAACATTATCTCGAGTTTTCAGCCCTCTAGCTTCTCAGATCCCCGAGTTATGAACTTACCCGAAAAAAATTTTGGCGGGCTCATACGGGGGTACCATGCTTACCTGGGGTCTGGGTTTGAACCCACTAATACCCGCTTGGCCGGGGAACATTACTCCAAGATTTCAGCCTTCTAGCTTCTCAGATCCTCGAGTTATGAACCGACCCCAAAAAAACTTTGGGAAGCCCGTACGCGGGTACCACGCGGGTTTTGGCGCCCATTTTGGGGACTGGGGGCGGTACGTGCATGACCCGTACGCGGGTAACACGCGGGTTTTGGCGCCAATTTTGTGGATGGGGGTCCGTACGTGTATGTAGATTATGTCCCCAAAGTTTCAGCCCCGTAGCTTTTGCCGGTCTCGAGATGAGGGGATGGGGGCTCATACGTGCATGTAGATTATACCCCCCAAGTTTCAGCCCCGTAGCTTTTGCCGGTCTCGAGATGAAAAATTGTAGATTATACCCTCAAAGTTTCAGCCCCGTAGCTTTTGCCGGTCTCGAGATGAAAAATCGGTACAGTCCCAGCGCACACACAGACACACACACACACAGACACACACACACACACAAACACACACACAGACAACCTCTCGTCAATATGCGTTTTTCGCATTGCATTGCTAAAGAAAACGCATAAAAACTGGAGTCTGTAACCAAAGGCAAAAATGCAAAACCAAACAAAAACTGAGCTTGTGCGAGTAGGATTTGTCTTACAAAACCCATCTTCAGTAAGTGTTCCCCGCATTTGTGAGGTTTACGCTTAGGTGAAGCTGAGAGCAAATAAGTCCGGTTGGACTACAGAAGAATTGCAAACAATTCCACAGTGTTGTCTCTCGCAGCCTGCAACTGTGCACAACAGTTATGCCTTTGTTTTTTGTCTTCAAAATCTCACAGGAGCAAAGGCTGTCTACATCCCCAAGCATCTATTCTACCCCGTTTTTGCCCACTTCATGGAACTTATTCGCTCTGAGTTTTACCCAAGCATCAGTTTCATAAATGGAGAAGCCTAATGACGGGTTTTTGTGGAACAGCTTTGCCTGAGCATCAGTTTCATGAATAAGGAAGTCCCCTATTAATGACGGGTTTTTATGGATCAGTTTTCACTAGCAAAACCTCAGTTTCCTTTGCTTTTATACATAAAGTCAGAGTTGCTTTAATTTACTTTTATTTGTGTGTGCAGTGTTGTCTTTTTCTCTTTACTGCTATCCTCAGTTCTTGCCTCGAGTTCCTGACTTGCATCCTCGTTCCCCTTCTCTACCTGTCCCAAATCCTGCTGGCAAACAAAATACAGATCCCTCTCCATCCTTACTATAAAAGCACTGTTCAAGCAAACAGTATTTACCTTTCTCTAGCCCAAGTATCTGTGGTAAAAACCAGGAGCACACTTCCTCGTCCTTTCCGTTCTTCATCACTCCGCTCTTCCCTCCAAATGTACGTCACTTAGTAAACCGGCAAAGGATCTACGTCATTTAGTCCTTATACTCAACTATCCTAGTCCTCTTCCCAAACTCGAACGAAAAACTCGCCGCATACCGACCCCCCACTTCCACCTCCCACATTCAAACTGCCGCCATCCGCCGTGAGGCAGCCCTATCTACCGTCGCGGGAAAAAAATTTTTGCAGATCGTGCATGAGATGAGCCGAGCCGTGTTATTGTAATTGCTGTTGTTCGGTTGCTATGGTCAACGTTGGTCACTTGAGCGGCTCCAGTGGTGGATGGGGTTTCTGTTGAGTTTGTTCTGGAGCAGGAGCTGTGCGTGCGGGTTTCGTGGGGGGTGCTGTCACGCTGGAACGAGTGATGATGCGTTTTTCAGGATGCAGGAGCAGGTGCAACGGCCGGGCGAGGAGGCGACGGTCGAGGATGAGAGCATCCTGACGCAGTTCGCCGAGAAACACCGACTGGAGGCATTTAGCATAATCGACACGCTGCCATCAGCGGTGCGCGACCAGCGAGTGGTCGAAAAGCGTCTCGAAAGGTTAAGTTGCTTCAGTGATGCGCTGAGTGTCAGGTCGCTAATTCAGATAAGGCCCAGTCACGGGCTCCCCCTGTTGCAGTTGCAGCTTGCCCTCCCCGCATATTTCTGCTTCTCCACGCTATTCTCGATTACTGGTGACGACCGTTGTGTGGGAGTGGGTCAAGGGAAGGGGGTAAAAGAGGGTGTGTGGAGAAAACCCAGGCTGGAACGCACCAGGAGAGCCAGTGCGATCATGCGTTTTTGCACAAAAATTGAATTGGGTTAACTGCATGAACGGTTGTTTCTTCACATCTACCTTATGTGCTTAATGCCAAAAATCATCGTAAATTTTGCATAAAAATAAATAAACTATTTCCGTTTAGCGGTGTTTTTTGAAAATAACCCAACTGTTCAATGA